TACGGGTGGCCACGTGGAATGTTCGAACGCTCACTGCAGAGGAGAGGCTGCCACTCCTCTGTCGGGAGCTGGACCGGTACCGCCTGGATCTATGCGGCATTCAGGAGGTCCGGTGGACCGGCTCTGGCTCCTGCCACCATGAGGGGTGGACAGTCCTCTACTCGGGGCAGCAGACTGCCAAACAACAGGGTGTGGGTCTTCTTTTGAACAAAAGAATGAAGGGGGCGTGGGAGCGTGGCGGTGAGGTGTGGGAAGCTGTAAGCCCCAGGCTACTTTGGGCTCGCCTTCCCATCAACCGGAGGCGAGGAATGGTGGTCGTGGTTACTTATGCCCCCACCGAAGATGAACATCCGTGGAGGGATGCAGGCAAAGCCGATGAGTCAGATGCCTTCTATGACCTCCTGTCACAGGTGCTGGCTAAAGTGGCCCCTCGGGATAGAGTCATCATGTTGGGTGACTTCAATGCCCGAGTTGGTCATGATACTGGCACCTGGTCTGGAGTGATTGGAGGGCATGGGCCAGATCAGCTCAATAACAACGGTAGGAGGCTGCTAGATTTTTGTGCAGCCCATGGGCTTGTAATTACCAACACGCTGTTCCGGCATCGGCGCATCCACACAACATCATGGATGCATGCCGGGTCCAAGCAAGAACATCTGCTGGACTACATAGTGACGGACCAGCGAATGCGAGCCCATGTCCTTGACACCAGGACCTACCGTGGAGCTGATCTGCCCTCTGACCATCGACTAGTCATCTGTAAGATGCGCCTGCCATTCTTCCACTCCGGTGGTGGGTGTACACCCAGGACCCCATTCCAACCTAAAGTGGCCTGGTCTCAGTTATCTGATGAAAGTTGCAAGCGAGAATTTCATCATCGCTTGCGGCTGGGATTGGCATCGTCCCCGACTCCTCCTGATGTCGAGGGTAAATGGGCGAGGTTTAGGACTGTGACTCATGCAGCTGCAATGGCTGCTTTGGGTACGCGGTCCAGACCTCCCCAGACACCCTGGATGACAGAGGAGTTGTTCAGGATGGTTGAGAAAAAGCGACAGACCCACTGTCATCGGCTACAGAATCCCACGTCAGAGAATGAGGAGGCTTACCGCAGCCTTCGCTCGGAGGTTCGGAGAGCCGTGAGGCGCTGCAAGGATGGGTGGTGGTCGCGGGTTGCTGAGGAGATGGAGTCTGCCTCAGTGGCCCGTGATCACAAATCTCTATTTAACTCCATCAAAAAAGTAACCTGCAGCGCCACACCTATTACCATCATTAGGGGAAAAAATGGTGATCCAACTTCCGACCCCCAGGAACAGGTTCGCAGATTTGCTGAGCATTTTTGTGAGGTCCTGGGGGAGGGAAAATCCCTCAGCCAGGAAAACACCGTGGCACAAAGTGAGGATGACCCTGCTGAGGCTGCGGTGCCTCAAATATTGGATGAAGTCACCCCCTGTGAGTGGCTGGCTGAGGTGCCATCTGCTGAGGAAGTATTGAAGGCGATCCGGAGTCTGAGACCAGGAAAGGCAGCGGGCAGAGATGATCTCCCAAGCGAAATGCTGTGGGAGGGTGGCGTTTGTGCACAGACTGCCCTATATGACATCATAACAACAGTCTGGACCACTGGACGGGTTCCGCAGGATTGGAAGGATGCCCTGGTGGTCCCCCTTTTTAAGAAGGGGGACCGCACAGACTGTAACAACTACAGGGGCATCTCACTCCTCAGTGTGCCGGGAAAGGTCCTGGCAAGGATTATTCAGCATCGCCTTGCCAGGCACGCTGAGGAGAGGCTTGCGGAGCCCCAATGCGGTTTCAGGAAAGGGCGGTCCTGCACAGATGCCATATTTTCTGTCCGTCTGCTACAGCAGAGGTGTAGGGAATTCCAACAAGACCTACATCTCTGCTTTATTGACCTGGTCAAGGCCTATGATACCATCAGTAGGCCTGGGCTCTGGGTCGTTCTTCGTGCTTTTGGAGTACCTGACCCTCTGCTCACGATCATTAAGGACCTTCATGATGGTGAGCGGGCCAGGGTAAAACTACGTGGCCGGGAGTCAGAGCCATTCCCTGTACACCTTGGGGTGCGACAGGGATGTCCTCTGGCTCCCACATTATTTAACATCTATTTTGACCACGTAGTTCGTGAAGCCTTCAATAGCTGTACCGGGGGAATCTCCATATGGTACAGATATAATGGGAGGCTAATCGATGCCCGGGTGCGGTCAAGGGATGGCTCCCTATTGCTCAACCACGTTATGTATGCTGATGACTTGGTAATAGCTGCTCAGTCAGAGGAGGAGTTGGAGACGCTGCTGCTGAGACTGGAGCGTGCCACTAAGAGGTGCGGCCTTACCATCAGCCCCACCAAAACTAAGCACCTGCCTGGGTATTTTGTACCATCGGACACTCCACCCCCACAACTCCCAATCGGTGATGGGGCAGTTGTGGAGAGAGTGGAGAGTTTCCCATACCTGGGCAGTGTGCTTATGACTGGCTCCAGTTTAACAGCAGAGGTCTCACTCCGAATCAGTCGAGCGGCAATATCTTTTCATCGGTTGCGTAACGCTGTGTGGAAGCTACCTGGTCTGTCGCTCTGCACTAAGCTTCAGGTCTTCTCGGCCACGGTCATTCCCTCCTTTCTCTACGCTTGCGAAACGTGGACCCCCCTAATGGAACATCTTCGCCGGTTAGAAACATTTAGGCTGGCCTGCCTACGATCCATCCTGGGTTTAACCAGACTGGATTGTGTGAGGAGCTCACAAATCCTTGAAAGATCTGGGCAGGGTCCCATCGGTGAGCTCCTCCGGCAGGCAAGGCTGCGATGGCTGGGTCATGTAGCCCGCATGCCCAGCCACCGCATGCCGAAACAGCTTTTGTTTGGCCGGATTGAGGGGGCTAAGCGGGCGCGGCACGGGCTAGAGAAGAGATGGAGTGATGTGGTACAGGAGGACGTGGAGCTGAGTGGACTTGCCGATGACTGGTACCAGCGGTGTCAAGATCGGCCTCTGTGGAGGAGGCTCGTGAAGGATGCTACTGGGCAGTTGGAGGCAGTCGCCCTCCAACAACAACGGAGGGCGGAGGAGCGACGCTCACAACAGCGAGCGGAGCGCCGGGTGGCTAAAGCACAGCAGGTTGGCACAGTAGGGGGCACAGGTGGTGCATCAGCCAGTCATCTCAGTCAGTCGACCCGTGGCACCTGGGTCTGCCCCGTGACCACCTGCCAGCGGGCGTTCGACACTTCACGTGGCCTCAGGGTGCACATAGCCTGGCACAAGCGTCGTGGTGACGTCACCGCCACTTAGTGGCGAATGGCGGTTGTTGTTGTTGTGTTGTGTGTGTGTGTTGGTGTGTGTGTTGGTGTGTGTGTTGGTGTGTGTGTGTTGGTGTGTGTGTGTGTTGGTGTGTGTGTTGGTGTGTGTGTTGGTGTGTGTGTGTTGGTGTGTGTGTGTGTGTTGGTGTGTGTGTGTGTGTGTGTTGGTGTGTGTGTGTTGGTGTGTGTGTGTTGGTGTGTGTGTTGGTGTGTGTGTGTGTGTTGGTGTGTGTGTTGGTGTGTGTGTGTTGGTGTGTGTGTTTGTGTGTGTTGGTGTGTGTGTGTTGGTGTGTGTGTGTGTTGGTGTGTGTGTTGGTGTGTGTGTTGGTGTGTGTGTGTATGTGTTGGTGTGTGTGTGTGTTGGTGTGTGTGTTGGTGTGTGTGTTGGTGTGTGTGTGTGTTGGTGTGTGTGTGTGTGTTGGTGTGTGTGTTGGTGTGTGTGTGTGTGTTAGTGTGTGTGTGTTGGTGTGTGTGTTGGTGTGTGTGTGTGTTGGTGTGTGTGTTGGTGTGTGTGTGTTGGTGTGTGTGTGTGTGTTGGTGTGTGTGTGTTGGTGTGTGTGTTGGTGTGTGTGTGTGTTGGTGTGTTGGTGTGTGTGTTGGTGTGTGTGTGTTGGTGTGTGTGTTGGTGTGTGTGTGTGTTGGTGTGTGTGTTTGTGTGTGTTGGTGTGTGTGTGTGTGTTGGTGTGTGTGTGTTGGTGTGTTGGTGTGTGTGTTGGTTTGTGTGTGTGTTGGTGTGTGTGTGTTGGTGTGTGTGTATGTGTTGGTGTGTGTGTGTTGGTGTGTGTGTTGGTGTGTGTTGGTGTGTTGGTGTGTTGGTGTGTGTGTGTTGGTGTGTGTGTGTGTTACCCACTTCACGTGGCCTCAGGGCGCACATAGCCTGGCACAAGCGTCGTGGTGACGTCACCGCCACTTAGTGGCGAATGGCGGTTGTTGTTGTTGTGTTGTGTGTGTTGGTGTGTGTGTTGGTGTGTGTGTGTTGGTGTGTGTGTGTGTGTTGGTGTGTGTGTGTTGGTGTGTGTGTGTTGGTGTGTGTGTTGGTGTGTGTGTGTGTTGGTGTGTGTGTGTTGGTGTGTGTGTTTGTGTGTGTTGGTGTGTGTGTTGGTGTGTGTGTGTTGGTGTGTGTGTGTTGGTGTGTGTGTTGGTGTGTGTGTGTGTTGGTGTGTGTGTGTGTTGGTGTGTGTGTTGGTGTGTGTGTTGGTGTGTGTGTGTGTTGGTGTGTGTGTGTTGGTGTGTGTGTTGGTGTGTGTGTGTGTGTGTTGGTGTGTGTGTGTTGGTGTGTGTTGGTGTGTGTGTGTGTGTTGGTGTGTGTGTTGGTGTGTGTGTTGGTGTGTGTGTGTGTGTTGGTGTGTGTGTGTGTGTTGGTGTGTGTGTGTTGGTGTGTGTGTTGGTGTGTGTGTGTGTTGGTGTGTTGGTGTGTGTGTTGGTGTGTGTGTGTTGGTGTGTGTGTGTGTGTTGGTGTGTGTGTGTGTTGGTGTGTGTGTGTGTGTTGGTGTGTGTGTTGGTGTGTGTGTGTGTTGGTGTGTGTGTGTTGGTGTGTGTGTGTGTGTTGGTGTGTGTGTGTTGGTGTGTGTGTTGGTGTGTGTGTGTGTTGGTGTGTGTGTGTGTTGGTGTTGGTGTGTGTGTGTGTTGGTGTGTGTGTTGGTGTGTGTGTGTGTGTTGGTGTGTGTGTGTTGGTGTGTGTGTGTGTGTTACCCACTGGAGCTTCTTGAATCTCTCGCTGCCCGCCGCCACAAACTCGCGACCGCCGTGCTGGAGCAAGCTGTGCAGGTCGGGCACCCGCGAGCCGCCCGCCGGCGTGTAGATGTTCCGCACGGCGAACGTGGAGCGCAGGCCGTCCGTGACCGTGCCGAGGAAGACGTCGAAGTTGACCACGTGGCGCGGGTTCACGACGAGCCTCCTGCCCGGGAAGAAGGCGTCCCCGTTGCGATACACGAGGATGTTCTTCGCGGGCGGAGACTGCGTCGCCACGAACGGAGTCTTCCCGGCGCTGGAGGACATCTCGAGTTTCACACTCGCCGCTGCCCTTGTGTATCCTCCTCGTCAGTTGTTCTAATTCACGCTCTTTGAAAGATCAACAAGACAACCAATCTCAAGGTCCTAGCGCGTTGGCAATTTGCCCTAACCCTGAGACCCGTCCACCACGACGAGCGCCTTCGCGCAGCACGGCAGCGAGCGTGAGCAGCGGGGCGTGGACCGGACCCCGTGGTTGTTCGCTCACGCTCACCTCGTTTGCGCCTCTTCTTTGCGCAAACGAAACAAGAAAGATTGGGTCCCTTAGCGAATTCCACCTGGCCCGGCAGCAGTAGCAGCAGTTAGCAGCAGCAGCAGTAGAACAGCAGCAGCAGCAGCAGCAGGAGCCGCGCGGGCTGTACGTTGGGTCCCGTGTGCGTGTCGCCTCTGTCTCGCTCTTGTTGCTGTCGTGGTTGGCGGACCGGCCTCTTCCCGCTACCGCCGCTGCTCACAATTTACCAGCGCTAAGCCCTCTCATGGGAGCGTGTCCCCCCTCCTCCTCCTTCTCCTCCTGCCTGCTCCTCCTCCACGGTCGCATGTCCCGGCAGCGTGGACTCGCCAGTAGTGGCCACTTGAGCGTTGCCGTGGGCACGACTCCCGCTGCCGCTGCTCGGCGTGTTTCCATTCATGGGAGCGGCGAAGTTTCATTCTGCAGTTGCCTTTATTATCTGCAAGAGGACATCATCTCTCTGGGTGGCTGGAGGTGCTGAAGACTTGGCCTCCCTCCTCCGTGGTCGCGCTTTCACGAGTGTTGTTGCCCCTTGTTGGCCGATGTTGTGCTCGGCAATCATCTGCCGACTTGGATCGAGTGGCTCAACTCAACTCGCAGCTCGAGATGACGGCTCGCGCGGGGCGCTACTTCTGGTGGTGCTGGTGGTGGTGCTGGTAGTGGTGGTGCTGGTGGTGGTGCTGGTGGTGGTGGTGCTGGTAGTGGTGGTGGTGCTGGTAGTGGTGGTGCTGGTAGTGGTGGTGGTGCTGGTGCTGGTAGTGGTGGTGCTGGTAGTGGTGGTGGTGGTGCTGGTAGTGGTGGTGCTGGTAGTGGTGGTGGTGCTGGTAGTGGTGGTGGTGCTGGTAGTGGTGGTGCTGGTAGTGGTGGTGGTGGTGCTGGTAGTGGTGGTGCTGGTAGTGGTGCTGGTAGTGGTAGTGGTGGTGCTGGTAGTGGTAGTGGTGGTGCTGGTAGTGGTGGTGCTGGTAGTGGTAGTGGTGGTGCTGGTAGTGGTGCTGGTAGTGGTAGTGGTGGTGCTGGTAGTGGTGGTGGTGCTGGTAGTGGTGGTGCTGGTAGTGGTGGTGCTGGTAGTGGTGGTGCTGGTAGTGGTGGTGGTGCTGGTGCTGGTGGTGCTGGTGGTGCTGGTGGTGGTGGTGCTGGTAGTGGTGGTGCTGGTGGTGGTACTGGTAGTGGTGGTGCTGGTGGTGGTAGTGGTGGTGCTGGTAGTGGTACTGGTAGTGGTGGTGCTGGTGGTGGTGGTGCTGGTAGTGGTGGTGCTGGTAGTGGTGGTGCTGGTACTGGTAGTGGTGGTGCTGGTGCTGGTGGTGGTGGTGCTGGTAGTGGTGGTGGTGGTGCTGGTAGTGGTGGTGCTGGTAGTGGTGGTGCTGGTAGTGGTGGTGGTGGTGCTGGTAGTGGTGGTGCTGGTGGTGGTGATGCTGGTGGTGGTACTGGTAGTGGTGGTGGTGCTGGTGCTGGTAGTGGTGGTGCTGGTAGTGGTGGTGCTGGTGGTGCTGGTAGTGGTGGTGCTGGTAGTGGTGGTGCTGGTGGTGGTGGTGGTGCTGGTAGTGGTGGTGCTGGTAGTGGTGGTGGTGCTGGTAGTGGTGGTGGTGCTGGTAGTGGTGGTGCTGGTAGTGGTGGTGGTGGTGCTGGTAGTGGTGGTGCTGGTAGTGGTGCTGGTAGTGGTAGTGGTGGTGCTGGTAGTGGTAGTGGTGGTGCTGGTAGTGGTAGTGGTGGTGCTGGTAGTGGTAGTGGTGGTGCTGGTAGTGGTAGTGGTGGTGCTGGTAGTGGTGGTGGTGCTGGTAGTGGTGGTGCTGGTGGTGGTGCTGGTGGTGGTGCTGGTAGTGGTGGTGCTGGTAGTGGTGGTGCTGGTAGTGGTGGTGGTGCTGGTGCTGGTGGTGCTGGTGGTGCTGGTGGTGGTGGTGCTGGTAGTGGTGGTGCTGGTGGTGGTACTGGTAGTGGTGGTGCTGGTGGTGGTAGTGGTGGTGCTGGTAGTGGTACTGGTAGTGGTGGTGCTGGTGGTGGTGGTGCTGGTAGTGGTGGTGCTGGTAGTGGTGGTGCTGGTACTGGTAGTGGTGGTGCTGGTGCTGGTGGTGGTGGTGCTGGTAGTGGTGGTGGTGGTGCTGGTAGTGGTGGTGCTGGTAGTGGTGGTGCTGGTAGTGGTGGTGGTGGTGCTGGTAGTGGTGGTGCTGGTGGTGGTGATGCTGGTGGTGGTACTGGTAGTGGTGGTGGTGCTGGTGCTGGTAGTGGTGGTGCTGGTAGTGGTGGTGCTGGTGGTGGTACTGGTAGTGGTGGTGCTGGTAGTGGTGGTGCTGGTAGTGGTGGTGGTGCTGGTGGTGCTGGTAGTGGTGGTGGTGCTGGTGGTGCTGATAGTGGTGGTGCTGGTAGTGGTGGTGGTGGTGCTGGTAGTGGTGGTGCTGGTAGTGGTGGTGCTGGTGGTGGTACTGGTAGTGGTGGTGGTAGTGTTGGTGCTGGTAGTGGTGGTGCTGGTAGTGGTGGTGCTGGTGGTGGTGGTGCTGGTGGTGGTGGTGCTGGTAGTGGTGGTGCTGGTGGTGGTAGTGGTGGTGCTGGTAGTGGTGGTGCTGGTAGTGGTGGTGCTGGTGGTGGTGGTGCTGGTAGTGGTGGTGCTGGTGCTGGTAGTGGTGGTGCCGGTAGTGGTGGTGCTGGTGCTGGTAGTGGTGGTGCTGGTAGTGGTGGTGCTGGTAGTGGTGTGCTGGTGGTGGTGCTGGTAGTGGTGCTGGTAGTGGTGGTGCTGATAGTGGTGGTGCTGGTCCTGGTAGTGGTGGTGGTGGTGCTGGTGCTGCTGCTGCTGGTAGTGGTGGTGCTGGTAGTGGTGGTGCTGGTGCTGGTAGTGGTGGAGCTGGTAGTGGTGGTGCTGGTGGTGGTGCTGCTGCTGGTGGTGTTGGTGGTAGTGGTGCTGCTGCTGGTGGTAGTGCAGCTGTTGGTGCTGGTGGTGCTGCTGGTGGTGGTGGTGCTGGTGGTGGTGCTGCTGGTGGTGGTGCTGGTGGGGCTGGTGGTGGTGGTGGTGGTGCTGGTGGTGGTGGTGCAGCTGTTGGTGCTGGTGGTGCTGGTAGTGGTGGTGCTGGTGGGGCTGGTGGTGGTGTTGGTGGAGCTGGCGGTGGTGGTGATGCTGCTGGTGGTACTGGTGGTAGTGCAGCTGTTGGTGCTGGTGATGGTGCTGCTGGTGGTGGTGGTGGTGGTGGTGCTGGTGATGGTGCTGCTGGTGGTGGTGCTGGTGGGGCTGGTGGTGGCGGTGCTGCTGCTGGTGGTGGTGCTGGTGGTGGTGGTGGTGCAGCTGTTGGTGCTGGTGGTGCTGGTGGTGGTGCTGCTGGCGGTGGTGGTGCTGCTGCTGGTGGTGGTGCTGGTGGGGCTGGTGGTGCTGCTGGTGGTGCTGGTGGTGCTGGTGGTGGTGCTGCTGGTGGTGGTGGTGGTGCTGGTGGGGCTGGTGGTGGTGCTGCTGGTGGTGGTGGTGCTGCTGGTGGTGCTGGTGGTGGTGCTGGTGGTGGTGCTGGTGGTGGTGGTGGTGCTGCTGGTGGTGGTGGTGCTGCTGCTGGTGGTGGTACAGCGGCTGGTGGTGGGCGGTGCTGTGTCTGTGTGTTTTGGCCACTGCCGGCTCGTTTATATATTTATTTATGCCGCCGTTTATTTATTTACTCCTCCTAAATGTGGCCGCTGCTCCGGAGGGCTTGAAGAATGCGGGTTGCCGAGGAGACCACGAGTGTGGCGGTGGTGCTGGTGGTGGCGGTGGTGGTGATTGTGGTGGTGGTGGTGGTGGTTTTGGTGGCGGTGGTTTAGCGGCTAGCCCCACTGTGCTACGAACCTGGCGATCCGAGTTCGATTCCCTCTTACGGGCGACACCAGTGACGATGATCTGAACCGGTCCTGGGCCTCCCCTAAGTCGACTCAGCCTCAAAACGATTTGCCGGTGCGGTGTGGAGCAAACATCGCCACTGACGGCGACAAAGGCGGCCGGGCGTGCTGCTGGCCACCCACCCCCTCGTGTGCCCTTGCCGGCCTTCGTAGGTGCTACTCGCCAACAGCACTTGCCCCAACAGTCTGTTAAGGCTATACCGGGAGGGAGGGGGGGGTCTTTGGTGGCGCAGTGCTTTTCCCAGGAGCTAGCCGACGCAGGGCCCGCGTGCTCTGCTGGCGTGGCTTTAATAAATGCGCTTATCAGTTTATACATAACACGTATATTACGTACAGGTGCACGTATGTGGACGATTTCCCTCATTCGGTTTTGTACAGCATGTCCACAGGTGAACGGTGCAATAATTATTCCTTTGTGTTCGGCAGTCAGCCCCAAATCACACATTCGTAAATTGCCTCGGGCTCGTTATTTTAAAGCAAAGTGAAAATTTAAAAAAAAATCACATTAATTCCTTTTAAAGTAATTACTTCCTTAAATTGCATTTCATCAAGTTCCCTGAGCTATTTCCGATTGAAGGATGTGCACTCTGGCGCACGGAATATGAGTAATGTCGTCGTGCCTGGCTTCTCGTTAAACATTTACATCTGGAAGTGACCTTTGTTAAAGCAGGAGCGCCATACGCATCAAGCTAGTGGTCAGAACGCAGTGCTTCGTGACTGAATATTTGATGGTCAATTCAACTGGCCAGAGCGTGCAGGCTGGCGAGGGGCTTTCGGACAGGTCGCTTAACGTGAGAGTGGAAACTTACCAGGTGCGCGCCTTGGGTAGTGAGTGCTGAATCGGCACGGCGCTACCTGCTGTGACGACGCGCGGTTCAGACAGCGAAGGCAGCGAACAAAATAGTGAAAAGTGTCCAAAGGGGCTTGGAGAGACGTAAATAGAGGAACACGTTGATTTAGAGGGCGTACGTTAGGGCAGGTTCAACACGTAATTCAAAATATTTGGGGGGGGGGGGGGGTCGGGGAATGTCTAATACCAAATATATCGAATCATAATCCTCGTAAATACTGGGCGTACGGTTATTGTATGGTGACATTGCTAGGGCAGAAGCATTGCGCTGGGGTGTGTTGGCCTCGCGCTGCCCACGCGTTTTAAATCAACGAGCACCACCGACTCCTCGTGCCCCCCCCTCCCTCCCCGCAGAGAGCAGCGAAGGTTTGGCCGCGACTGCCGCTTCGCCGCTGTCACTCCGCACGATGGCGACGTCTCGCCACGTGAGGCGCGGGAAATGGAACGGTCACGTTACGGACGTGCAGGTCTCAGATGCGCCCCATGCACCTCCAACATCCATAGCTGTCAAGCCACACGGTTCAAGCCCGTATTCTTCGTGTACGGGGAAATCGAGTTTTCACGTCCATACGGCGTACGGGGCGTCTCAATGCGGGCAAATGTGTTGTGTCTATTTGTTTGTGTTTCTCCCTTGTTGATGGGACTTTGTAGGATGAACGTTGAGTTTTATCAAGGGCACGGGGTGACCAATGAGGTCTGAATTGGTCTGCAATAAGGGAAGCACTGATGAGAGTTTGACAGATATTATTATCAGAGACGCCACTCTCCTCCCACCTACCAATGCAATGTAATCAGTGTGTTTATGTTCTCACTGCACGTATTCCTCACTGTGCACTTTGTTGTAGATCAAACAAATCGTGACATTTGTCTTTGAAGCAGTCTGCTTGACGGCAGGCCACGTGTCGTGGCAGTGAAGGGGCTCACGACGACAGGCTGGCCAGATCATTCCGCAGTCCAGCACGACAATATTTGACCAATCCCTATATATGTATGCATGTTGAACTTCTTTCGCACCGTACGTAGCCAACCGTGCTAGTCGGAGGTGCGGGGGAATGACAACAAACTAAACGCAAAAAGCGGTTCTAAAGAAACGCGTCTGTGAATCTTCGTGATTTAAAAGTGCATAGCTCCAGTAGTTTCCTAATATCGGAAGGAAGAGCGTTTCCAGACGGCTGCAGAAGCACATCTGAAAGCGCCGCTCACTGACCAACACCAGTGACGATTATCTGAACCGGTCCTGGGCCTCCCCCTAGGTCGATTGAGCCTCAAATGAGTACCTGGTGCGATGTGTTACCTTTGCCACTGGCGAGACAAAGGCGGCCGGGTTTGGTGCTGGTCACCCAACCACTCGTGTGCCGTTCCCGCCTTCATAGTTGCTCGCTAACAGCACTTGCCCCAACAGTCTGTTACGGCTATACGGGGATCTTTGTCTTTGATGTCTGGCCAAACTCGAAATTGCATTGCTGCAAATAACACTTCTTAAACGACGTGGAAACATTAACTAAAGAGCATTTTTTTTAAAGACAAAACATCAACCGTAACGAAATGCTAATGCTACGGTCAAATCACCCGGAATGTACCCCAGCTCCTCAGATCTCGGTAGCTACGCAGAGCTTAAGCTTGGAAAATTGGGGTATGATGGGCGACCACCAGATAGGTCATCGTGAGTGACTGCTGCGCTGCGTGGTGGCCTTAAGTCGGGGATGCGTTCCTGAAAGGTGCGACGGCGAATATCGAAACGACGTCGGTGGAAGCGATTTACCGGGTAGTAAGTAGCAGGTGATAGTGCAAGCCGAAGGCTGAGAGAGGCGGCCGACAGCGAGAAAGGAGGGACGATGGTGCTGTCAGGGACGTCAGTGCGGGCTTAAGGCGACGCAAATCGGGGCAGCGGTGTCAGTCAAGCGACGACGTACATACGAAACGATGGAATAGGGGGAGATGTAAATCGGGGGATTCCTGTGCGATGCGGCTACGTCTATGCTTCCTGCCTTTACGGACCTCACTGACCAGCATGGTGAAGTATGGTCAACCCACAGGGTCACGAGGTGTTCATCCAGCAGTGGATTTACGTGGGCGTCTCACTGTCATCGCCGAGGCCGTCTGTTTCAGCCGCTTTGCCAAATAAAAATTAAAATATGAAACTATTTTTATTTTACCAGGTAAGCCCCACTGAGCTATCTATGCAGCTCTTTTTCAGAAGCGACCTGGCCATAAATGATAGCCCAACGAAGTGGCTTATTATCACGTGGAAATGTAGAACAGCCAAATAATCTTAAACGCATTCTCTAAATGTGGAGGGAAAAACGAGAGGACTCTGAGAAAAATCCACACGAGCATGGGGAGAACGTGCAAATATCCAATTATACAGGCGCCAGGGTCTGGATCGAACCCACGACCTCATGTATACCAGGCGAGATAGTTAACATCTCACCACCGCGGCAGTTGAAACTGTCCGCATGTCAGTTTAACACGTAGGCTTTCGCGACCAATATCTTCCATAATCCAGGTGTTTTATTGGGTTAGATCATGCAAATATAAATGTGTCGTTAAACCCGCCACAATCCGACACAGCCAATTAGTAAAGTTTGTCACCAAAACAGAATATGTTAATTCGTTGCTAGTACAACACACCGGTGTGTTGTAGAGCAAATCCATTTGCAATCTGAGTACAACGTTTCGCCAGCAATTGCAACTAGCTTCATCAGGCGACAGACAGATTTGTGATCTGTCTGTCGCCTGATGAAGCTAGTTGCAATTGCTGGCGAAACGTCGGTGTGGCTGTGCTCTCTAACACACCGGTGTGCTGTACTAGCAACGAATTGGCACGTTCTGTTTACGTGACAAACCTTACTGATTGGCTGTGTTGGGTCGTGGCGGGTTTCACGACATTTATATTAACGCCATCGAATCCAGGCCCCTTCTGAATATGAATTTAACAAAACCTCATTAAGGGTAACTCATTAATTTCGAGTACTTTCGACCCACTTTGCTTTTGCATACAAAAAATCCTCTAGGATTGCTCACTGTGTCGGGTGGTCGCGCGTTTAAGGACACGTGTATATTTACGCGATCCACACCTCACTGCTCCTATCCCATAAATGGATGTTCGCGCCTAACTCCTTTGGAGCAAACCCCGCGGCCTCTGGGCTTGGCCAGTCCGATGCCGTCTATAGCAGCATTAAAAACCCACGACAACTCAATTTGCACAATTCTGAACATTTCATTAAATCCATACAGTGCACTAGTACAGGCAGCCTGCCTGATCTATCACTGAGCTAGATTGCCTTGTGTCGGCAGTTTCGCAAGTGTTGGCAGGTCCTGATAAGTGTTCATTCTTGTCTCGCGCTTATTATTATCATCATTAAACACCCTCCTTTTGCGTTATGGCAGGAGATTAACTTTAACGTGCTGCCACAATTTTTGGACCGCACTCCGCAGCGCAGTACATTTTTTCTATTGGATGGGGGAAAACAATCGGGGTATACCGATGGACAATGCCGATTCCTGCTACAATCCCGTAAGTGTCACAAAGTTCACCGCGTGCCTGCGGCGTCTGCTCTCGTCGCTTTCACATTCTGCATTTTGGATGTTCCCCCTTCTTGAAGCGATTCTTTTTTTCTCTCCTAGACGTTGCGCTCCTATCGAATTTTTCGCATTGTTTGGTGTTGTAACGTTCTGACCCGCCTCTCGACTGGACATGCGTGGATAAAGAGCTTCATAGCTCATCGGATTCCTTCAGTATAAATACATATGATGATGATGATGATGATTTTGACGGCCTCTGGATGCCACTCAATAACTCTGTCCTCCTCCGCCTTGAACTGTGTGTCCCACCCATTGCTATTTCCTCTTCCTGATCACACTGGCACGGATCATTCCTGCCTGTAATAACGGCCTTATTGGCGTCGTCATGGGATCTATAGAAAAGAGGGTTCACAGTGTGCACCTCTTATTAATCACTCACAGGCTCTCAGTAGCATCATCATCATCATCGTATAATCGCCATCGAACAAAGACGGTCACTGCATCGTGCGCGTTCAGATGCGCTTCTGCGGCCGTCTGGAACGCTCTTCCTTCCGATATTAGGAAGCCACTGGAGCTACGCATGTTTAAATCTCGATTGAAAACTAATTTATTTAGAACTGCTCTTGTATTTAGTATGTTGTCCTTCCCCAACACCTCCGATTAGCAGGGTTGGCTACGTACGGTGCGAAAGTGGTTCAATATATATATACATACATGATTACCATCAGTAATAGTAGCATCAGTAGGAGCTTTCATCCATGGATTCCACAAGCGCTCTCTATACACAAAGCAGCAGTATGGCCACCATGGAGATACATTCAGCCTTAACAGACTGTAGGGGCAAGTGCTGTTAGTGAGTAGCACCTATGAAGGCCAGAACGGCACACGAGGTGGTGGGTGGCCAGCACCACGCCCAAAACCGCCTTTGATTCCCCAATGCTGATATTTACACATCGCACCAGATACTCATTCGAGGCTGAGTTGACCTAGTGGAGGCCCAGGACCGGTTTAGATAGTCATCACTGGTGTTGGCCATGATCGGGAATCGAATTCGGGTCGCCGGGTTCGTAGTGCAGAGCATTAACCGCTACACTACCGCTCCCCACAACCGCCAACACACATATATGCAAAGTGCTTCAACAGATGCACACATACAACCTTCATGATGTTAAAATATTCACGTTTATTATTGTTTTCTGCGTGGAGACAAAGTACAATATTTGAAAGTGTCATTTTGCATAAACGCTATTTTATTGACAGCATAGTTTTGACAAAGCCCATTTTGACAGCGGGGTCTCCACACACTGCAAAATAATCGCAGACTTCTTACGCTGACAACGGTTTTGGAGAACATCACAACATTTTCAGGTTGGAGTGATGCTCTTGAGTTTTGCAATGTTTGTGAATTGGGAAATGTTGTATTTCACGACTGCTCTAACTATAATCCCAGACACGTCTTGCTCATTTCGACGCATTAATAGCAGCCCATCATTACGTGCTCAATTCGTTTATTTAAAAATATATATTTTTGTACATTTTATTTTATTAACTCCTGACATTCTATTGCTACTAAGTGGATAATTGTTAAGACTCGTCTCTCTCAATGCGCATTTGTAATGTATTCCTAACGTGCTGCATCCGTTTCCCATTCCAATGCAATTTGCCAAATCAAGAAAATGGCAACCACATTTCAGTGGGCATGTTCCGTGTTGCATATTCAGGTATTCACAAATGTATAGCTTCCATCAGATATTATTAGCGATGCTTTTGTCTATATACAGTACTACGAGAGCAAACTAATGTGAAGGGTGCTATGATGCGGCGAGTGAATACTACTGGTATGCGGCTATAGAATAGTCTCTGGATACACGAGTCACGTGCTAGCACGTGGTCTCTTCTGGTAATTATTTTTTTTCATATATCGACACTCATCAACTAAGGCGGATTTTATGATTTTCAGAAAACCATTTTTGTTAGAAACATGAGGAAGAGGAGGAGGAGAATAAGAACAACAACAACAACAGCTGGAAATCATCTCCCGTTCGTCCAGAGCAACAGGAGCATCGTGGGGCGCGTGCCTAAGACAACTTCACATTATTTACGAGTTTACATGTCGATTCAAAGTCGTTTTTTCTCTCTCCAAGTGCCGACTTCATTCGCGATGAGCACGTTGAGAGGGGTCGCCATGCCCTCTGGTGGTGATCGCGGGTGCTCAATCAACTATAGTCGATTGACGTGTTTTGTTTATTTTACCAGGTAAGGCCCCACTGAGCTATACAGATATTTTTGTATCAGAAGCGACCTGGCCACTAATGACAGCTCAACGAAGTGGCTTATCGTGTGGAAGTTTATAGCAGCCAAATACTCTCAACGCGTGTTTCTAAATCTGGAGGGAAAAAAAAACGGAGGACCCGGAGAAAAATCCACGCGACCACGGAGAGAGAGAGACATGCAAACTCCAAATATACAGCAGCAGGCGTCAGGATAGGGATCGAAGCCACGACCCCCTGCGTACCAGGCGAGGTAATTAACATCTCGCCACCGTGACGTCCCTTGGCACAATAGTCAGCGCTCAGGCATCTCCACTGCTAGCTCGCTCGTCGACAGCTGTGTCCCGTGGTGACCATCAGACCATGCCCACGCCCAGTTGTGAAATTAGCACGAAGACCCCCACCTTATCAGGCGGCGAAGGAGTCAGAGCGCTGAGCCATCGCCACCGATGCCTCAGTTTAGATCCGGGCACCAGCCACCCGCCTGGTCAAACTGGGTCCCTTAGTGGAGTGAGGTGATGGTCTCAGCACAGCAACACGTCACGTTAAAGTTTGTACTCTCAATTTGGCTATGTTCCAGCTTTGAGAGTTAAAATATGTGTCTGACTGTCATGTGAAAGTCAACCCAATATTCACCATTCTCACAGCAGATTGTGTGGGAAGGTGTGCCCTCTTTGTTATAAAGACAGGGGTTATTTTGAAGGACGTTTTCGAAGAGGATCCTTCAAAATGTCTTGCAGGGCTGCACACACACGGCGATCGCGATGCTCTGTAATATTTCCCAAGGGATTCTTCGCCTCACGTCACGACGGCGAAAGATACGGAGACATATACTTGTTTTCACACCCACGCCTGGCAACAGGTGGGGGTGGAATCATATACAAGGAACAGTGGAGGGTAACCGAGCTGAATTCCTGCTTCTGATTGGCCACTGAGCAAACCAATCAGGTGCTTTATTTAAAAATGTGTACCTTTGAAGGTAGACACAGGGAGGAGTGGTGGCACAGTGATTAGCACGCTCCGCTATGAACCCGGCGACCCAAGTTTGATTCCGGGCCAGGGCTAACATCAGCGGTAAGCAATATTAAAACGAGTTCTGCCCTCTCCCACCTTCATCAACCAGTAAAGACTTGGAGTGGTGAAGTTTGGTTAAACAAAATAATCGTACAAATATCCATGACCAAACGTGGAGAATGGAAGCCCCCGCAATCATTTGTGGACTGAGAATGGCCAAATTTTATTTCAAACCACACAATGGAGAAAGGTATTCATGGAGCTCGAAATCCCCATCCATGGCACTCTCGTGTGGCATGAGAGCAGGGCGTGGCTGCTCTGTGGCCGTAGCGTGGGGTTAGTCCGGCACATAAAACATCACTTAAGCCACCGATGATTTTTGTTTCCGCCATCGGAATCTCTTATCGGACAGAGGCAATCTCGACTTACCCCGTGGAGAAATCCGATGAGCCACGACGCTCCTTTTTTTCACAGACGCCATCTCATTATGCCCGAAGGCGTGGCCTCACACCTGGTAGCATTGTCACGGCTTGGCTGGGCTTGAGGCCATGACCGGAATGTCCGTTCTCCCGTGCGCGTGAGGATGGCACCTCGATCTTTGTAAACCATTTTAAATTGGAAGCGTTCCTGGTACACGAGACGCCCAGCTCGACGGTAAATTTCTTTGGTAAATAAATTGCGAGCTAAGACTTCAAATGAATTGCAATGCAAAATTCGCAGCGCTGTGATGGCAGCAACTGGTCATGTCGCGGCAACAATATTCCACGTTGACACCACAATTTTAAAGTCTCATTGCGCGTAATGTTTACATTCAAACTTCAAAGTATTCCTGAAATGATATGCCAAATTTAACACGGTTTACAAACTGTGTGCAAGGCCGTTATTGGACGTGTTGAGATCAAATCAAAGTTTGTTTATTTTATCTCATCTTCAAATTGGCTTAAAGGAAAGTGGCATCACGCGATCGCAGTCACAGCTCCAAGCCTCAGGTCGTCCCTGTCACCCCCGTGCGTCCGCGAAACGTACGTTTGAACCTCTTCCGCACCGTACGTAGCCAACCGCGCTAACCGGAGGCGCGGGGGAAGGGCGATGAACGCGAGGGTTGGGACGCAAACCACCTGGGGCGCTTCCCCTCCGTGCCACCGACACCCGCCGAGCCCCTGGCACAGCCCGGCACAGCCCGGCACACCGAGACCCCCGCCCCCCCCCCCCCCAACCGCGCGTGGCGACCCCGCGGCTACTCGGCGGCGGCGCGCTCGAACTCGCACACGAAGTACGCCGGCGCCGCGCAGTCCACGTCGTTCCACTCGCCCGCGGCGGCGGTCAGCTCCACGCAGCCCTCCGCTCCGCCCGAGTCGTTGGGCTCGCCCGTGCGCCAGCGCGCCAGCCCGCCCGCCAGCGCGCCGCCGTCCACGTAAGCGAAGCGCCGCGGCGCCAGCGGCGGGCCCTCGCCCGCGTCCGGCGCGTTCCGCGCGTCGCGCACGCCGATGTAGGCCGCGCCGACGCCGCGGTGGGAGAGGAAGGAGGCGAGCATGTCGTTGGTGGCCTTGTCCTTGGGCATGGCCAGCGTGCCGCCTCGGTGCTGGCAGTCGCTCGCCGCGTCCGCGTGGCTCTTGCCCTCCTTGACGACGATGTAACTCTTCTGACCCAGCTCGGAGACGCCCACCACTGCGTGCGACGCGGTTGGTTTTTTGTTGTTAAATTACGTTCACGGGCGTGCGTGCGTGGGTATGCGTGCGTGCGTGCGTGCGTACCGCACGCTGAACTTTTTTTCGCACCGCACGTACGTAGCCGGCCGCGCTGATCAGACGTGGCGGGGGAAGGACAACAAGCTAAACGCGAAAAGCAGTTCTCGACAAAATGGGTTTTCGATCTAGTCTTAAAAGTGCATAGCTCTAGTTGCTTCGGAATATCAGAAGAGCATTCCAGACGGCCGCAAAAAACGCGTCTGGAAGCGCGCGATGCGGCGGCCGTCTCTTTTCGATGGCTAGCCAAAAGCCGCTGAGAGGCTATCACAAATGATAGCTCAACGAAGCCTGAAGCTGCCAGTAAAATGCTTGCCAGCGAATTAGGAAAGTGAGCAGTGGATGTTCTGGACCATGGCCTCTGTACGCCTGCTGTAAAAACGTAAAGGCGAAGAGCTTCCCGTGTAGCCTCCACAGGCTGGTGGGGCGAGCGCGGTTAGCGGGCACCTGTGAAGGTGGGCACGGCACGCGAGCATGCGGGTGACGTGGATAACACCACGGCCGGTTACACAACGCGCCAGCAACTCACTTGAGGCTGGGCAGGACCAGCAGCAGTGCAGATATCAATTGTCATCTGATGTTAGCCGTGGCCAGAAATCTAACTCGTGTAGCCAGGTTTGCAGTGCAGTGCCCTAACCACTGTGCTACCCACCTCCAACAGGCACAGCTCTCCACACACAAGCTCAAATAACACGTACACTTGCAAAAAATTCAACAGTGCAAGCAATAAAAAAAAATTGCGAGTGCTGTCGAGTTGATCTCCACTGAATACGCAGAGCCAGCCTCGGTGATTTTGAATTCACTGCCCAACCAGTCGGGGAATTATTCTGCTCGGAGTACACATTGTTGCAGACTCCCATGGCAAAATAAACAACGCTTAAAAAATTATGAAATTATTTTTTATATAAAATTATCTTCCACCCGACTGATTTCACTGTGCGCTGGCACAGCGATCATTGCGCTGCGAGATGAACCCGCTGAACCGAGTGCGATTCCCATCGTGGTGAGCGATATCTGAAACCGGTCCTCGCCACACCCCTTTGGCACTCCGTGCTCACCGCCGCGGTGAGCCATGGTGAATGAACCACCAAAAAGCCTCACGTGCGCCGTCGGGAGACTGTCATCGGGCGGTGGATTGAGAAAACGGCTGCACGTGTGCATGAGTGTTGGCAGATTTGGAGACGTGGGCACTCTCCACCCTCGCGGGGGAAGGTGAGGATGCGCATCACGCACACCCAGCCCGCGGGGTTGGAGGACCACGGGGAAACTGTGGGTTCCCTGAAAGAAGCCGAACTATGAACTGAAATTTTGATTTAAAGCTTTCGTGACTGCAGTGATTCATATTCTTGGTCCATGAGGCTATCCGCATATACAAACACGGAGACAATTTCAACCGAGAAGATGGATTCTGGCTTAGCAATCATTGGAAGGATTTGATAAACCATTTCGGGTCTTAATTGATTGTTGACGCTTACGGTGGCTTTCAGACAGCATACATTAATTTTTCGTCTCCCCCCTCCTCTTTTCCGAACATAGATGGACTCGTCCTTCTAAACAAACTGTCAAATCCCTATCCGTGGTGCTAACGTTTAAAAATAAATAAATACAAACCGCCACTTCTTTCAAATGTTTCTTGCTATTGGTTTTCACACCTGATGATGACTGTTTGTGTTACAGTCGAAACGTCGTGAGAATTTTATTGTTTTATATATTTTATTACTTTATTGTTTCCCTTCAACGTGACTTTACCGAATGAACCAAGAATATAAACTAAAACTCAACTATAAACTAAAACTCAACTTGTTCTTTTTTCGCTGGCTTGTTATTTTTCCAGCTAAGGCCCACTGAGCTAGATAGCTCTTTTTCAGAAGCGACCCAGCCACAAATGATAGCTCAACAAAAGTGGCTTATTGTGTCAAAGTTTATAGCAGCCAAATACTCTCAAATCATGTTTCTAAATGTGGAGGGGGAAAAAAGGACCCGGACAAAAATCCACGCGACCACGGGGAGAACATGCAAACTCCAAATATACAGGCGTCGGGGTCAGGACCGGGATCGAACCCACGACCTCCTGGATACCAGGTGAGGTGGTTAACATCTCGCAAACCGTGGCGAGTTGTTAACTCGAGGGGGCCCTCGAACAAGTTCAGTTATCTGTCACCGATATGTTGGCTGTGAGCGGGAGTCAATCTTGGGTGGCCGGGCTTGTAGCGCGGCGCGCTAACCGCTGCACCACCACACCTCACCCACGAGACACGCGCTCGCAGCATGGACACCCACGTGTAATGGATCACCGGTCACGAGGTGTGCCACCTCACCATTCTTCATCAGCTGAACCTCGTTTTTTAGCTGCGAGATGACGATGTCCAGCTCTCCCACAGTCCTCCGCAGGTGGCCACATTCGCAATGGGAGCCTGCAACGAAACATTCATCTCATTGATTCAGTTACCTTGGGCAGAGAGCACACCACTCTGACCAATGCAGTGGTGCAATAGGCTTAGTGCTGGTTTAATGGCTGGTTACACAAACCAGTGTGGAACATTGCTGCAGTGGCTGGTGCACTGCACTCACTATGAACAACGGCCACCTGGGTTTGATTCCCGGCTGCAGCTCACATCAGTTGCGAGTGCTCGTCTCCTGTTTATAGCACCGAGTCAGCGGTTGGAATTCCACATTCCCATGGCAGGAACGTCTCTTTCTGGAAAACCACTCTCGTGATTTTTCCTCAAACTGGTTCTCATATTATTGACACCAGAGGGATCAGAACTTGAATATTTATTTTATACTGGAGGAATCATATGAGCTATAAAGCTCTTGTTCAGAGATGGCCAGTACTTTTTGGGCTGAGTCAGGGGTCGGCAAGCAAAAATAACAAGAAGAGCCTTTTATTGATCGAATTTGGTACATTAAAAAAACCTCAATATTTCAAGAGCCGCCAATGCTTGTGGTGAATACGAGACGGTGGGCCCTTAGTAAATGACGTAACGAAGCCATTCCTGAAAGAGCTGCACGTGTCTCCAGCGCCACAAGGTTCCTGACCCCTGGGCTGAGTCAACCCCTCACTGGGATGCCAACTCACATCCTTACAATTTTGCGAGCTGCTCGCTCACACCGGCTGAGCCACCTGGCTGGTCATGTCATGAGTTTAGATTATTTGGGCTATTTGGCTGCTATAGATTTCCACATAGCTCAGTGGTCATTACCTGGTGAAATACAAATATATTTTATTATTATTATTATTTGTTTACCTTTCCTATAATTTTGCACGCCTGTCTTGTTGTCGCACTGTTTGTTGTTGTAACTTTCTGACCCGCCCCAACTGGACATCTGTGGAAAAGAGCTTTATAGCTCATCGGATTCCTCTAGTATAAATACAGATTCTGATCTCTGCTGGAAGTAAGAAGCTCCCGTTGTGCTGTTAGCCAGTGTGGTGCACGTCGCTTAGTGTCAGGGTGCGCTTCTCTCTCACCTGGGTCGCCTACTGGCCCGATTGGTCCCTCGCCACCCAGCTCTCCTTTGACGCCTGACGAAGACAAAGTTCCACAGGGTAGCCTTAACAGACTGCTGGGGCAAGTGCTGTCAGCGAGTAGCACCTCTGAAGGCCGGCACGGCACACGAGGAGGTCGTTGGCCAGCGGCACCACCACGCCCTGTCGCCTTTGTCTCCCTAGTGGCGACGTTTACACACCGCACCGGGTACTCATTTGAGGCTGAGTCGACCTCGGGAAAGTCCAGGACCGGTTCAGGGCCAGTGAGCGGAAATGGAACTCGGGTGGCCGGGTTCGTAGTGCAGGGCGCTAACCACCACATTATTGGACTCCCCACAGTGCTTGCCAGGCTGCATCGGCTTCCGGTTGCTGAACGAAAACATTATTGTAATGTCACACTCACGACACGCAAAGTGCTTACCACAAATCAACCACAATACCTCGCTGATCTCGTCAAGCAGCATAAACCATCACGCGAACTTCGGTCATCCTCGCCACAGCAGCACCTTTCTGCTGGCCATCGAACAAAGACGGTCACAGCATCGCGCACTTTCATATGCGCTTCTGCGGCCGTCTGGAACGCTCTTCCGATATTAGAAAGCCACTGGAGCTATCCACTTTTAAAGCACCTACATTGACAAACTCATTTCAACAGAGCTGCTTCTTGCGTTCCGTTTGTTGTCCTTCTCCCGCACCTCCGATTAACGTATGGTGCGAAAGAAGTCCAACACATGCAGACATTGCAAACTGCGTGTTGGCTGGGAGATGCTTTGACCTCTGCGTGACCTCTCCTCGTCCTCGTCTGCCGCCTGTGGGTGCGCACAGCGGCCCCAGCCTTGTGGCGCCACCTCGTGGCAGGCAGGGCCACGGAGCTAACGGGGCTCTTCATCTCCGATCAACGCCGTGTATTTATCGACAGGGGGGTCGCCAAAACAAAATAACAAGAGCCATATAAAAAAATTCGGTAAAAAAGAAACCTCAATATTTCGAGAGCCGCAATGCGCGTGGAATGACGTCACGGGGAAGCAGTCCACAAAGATCCGAGTGGTGGCCCGGAGCCGCAGGTTGCTAACAACTGCCCATGGTGAACTGGACTCCCATGGTGAACTGGACTTCCATGGTGAACTGGACTCCCATGCTAAACTGGACTCCCATGGTGAACTGGACTCCAATGGATAACTGGACTCCCATGGTGAACTGGACTCCCATGGTGAACTGGACTCCCATGGTGAACTGGACTCCCATGGTGAACTGGACTCCCATGGTGAACTGGAATCCCTTGGTCAACTGGACTTCCATGGTGAACTGGACTCCCATGGTCAGGGGTCGGCAACCAAAATAACAAGAGGAGACTTTTTTTGTTTTTAATTTCAAGAGGCCACACTGCAGCATGCGGTGGCCCCTGGAGCCACAGCTTTACCGACCCCTGCTTCAGCTAAAAACTGAATACGCTTAGGCATTGGTGCATTTCACTTTGAAACTGTTGTTCCTTTGTATGCTGTATAAGGGAGTCTTCGGTGCATCGAGATCGTCTGTTCAGGACGTACCGATTCAACACGTACCGATACAACACGTGTTACATAGGGGGTTGCCACCTGTCCCAGGATGTGACATGGACCATCCGGACATTGTCATCTCTATTCGGGAGTCCGGAATTGATTTGTTCCGACATGTGCCACCGGGATTGTGTTGAACTATATGACAGTCGACTGCACAGCTTTAATAAACTTGGCTAAGTACGGTGCGAAAGACGTTAAACATTTCATGCGCTACATTGCACTGTGGCTTGTTTAAAGTTTTAAAATTATGATGGTTCTGTTGATCTTTGAATGCGTTTTATGCCAATGAATAAGAAGCATTGGTAACAATAAACATGTAATATACCTATGTACAGGATAGGTATGAGGTTGAATACAAAATAAAATTCCACTGAATCTGAACCACGAAGTTACCGTGTCTGGGACAAAAGCAGTTGAGGAGGTGTGTTACTTTCATGGTGCGTGAATCTGTGCTGAACCTTCAGAAGGTGGTCATGGTGGACCACATCAGCCTGCTGGATGCCCTCGTCACAACTTGATAGAGATATTAAATAGTTCTTTCGGTAAAGTCACGTACATTAGAAAAAAATAACAATAAAATTCATAAAAATGAAAGTAAAGTGAAGAAAAAATCAAGACTTGTTTTTCTTCTGATGACGATTGCTTGTGTTGCGATCGAAACTTTGTGATATTTTAATTATTATTTTAATTCACTTTATTTTAATTTTTATTATTTTATTGTTATTATTTTTTCCATCTATGTGACTTTACCGAAAGTGACTTTACCGAAAGTTTTAAGTCAAAATTTGATAGAGATAGTTCATTTCAACTTGATGGAAATAAATAATTCCAACTTGATGGTGATAATTAATTCCAACTTGATGGAGATCATTCATTCCAACTTTATGGAGGTAATTCATACAACTTGATGGTGATAATTATTCACACAACTTAATGGAGATAATTCACGTGGCGGGGAAAGGCTCCGATAGAACGGAGGAGTTTCACCTTTTTCTCCGACTGCGCCGATTTTGCCATACGGTCCCATGATTCCTTTGGAGCCCTTTTCACCTGCAAAACCTGCAAACACGTTATCACAATTATTTTCACAACTCAAGGCGTGTTTCTTTTTTTTTTGCCCACGGTGATCTTTGATCGGCATTCAACACTTCGCGATTATAAAATATAACTAAAAACAACCATGCAAGAGATGCAAAGATGAACGCATTCGCATAACTCCATTTGATATAATAAAAGGTTTTTTTTGTTATTTACTCCCCCCCCCCCGCCATCCCCCAATTTGATCCTGCTTTGGCGAGGAGCATCTTGCCATGAGACAAATTAATAATCCGTTCAGATCGCTCACAGAGCAGCACATCCCACTGTTAGAGAATAAGAGAATGGTCCGAGGAAGTGGACGTCACGAAGCTACCCCTGAGAGCCCTCACAGTAGACGGAAGCCACTGTCCACCTGCTCTGCATATGAGAGCTATAGTTGCCACATGGCAGTCACGTGGTGCGGCATATCATTTAACCAAATCAATTTGAGCCAAAATTAAGCGGACAATCAAACTTAGTCAGTTTAACACGTAGCAAGGCTTTCGCGACCAATATCAACCATGATACAGGTTTTTTGGGTTAGATCGTAAATATATAAATGTGTCGTTAAACCCGCCACGACCCGACACAGCCAACTAGTAAGGTTTGTCACGTAAGCAGAACGTGCCACTTCGTTACTAGTACAGCACACCGGTGTGTTGGAGAGCCAAGCATTTACAACCTTACAAAAATCACTAATATTGAGTTTGTTCATGAACACAACAACAATTTCGATGTAGCACGAATATTAACGATCGACCGAGAGACGCGCGTGCTCAGTGATGACACTTTCCTGTTTCCGCGCAGAAGACTGCCCACTAAGTGGACAGCAGCAGAGCCACGCAAATTTACATCAATCAAAATCCATCCACTGTTGTAAAGATATGCAACTACTGTAGTGCAGAAGGCGATCACGTGGGTTTCGGATTCACTGGAGCACATATTTGTTCGGTTTAAGCACGTGACTTGTAATACATATTTCCAGAAATAACAATGTATAACTTTTTTATTTAGATTATTGATTTGGGCTTAAGGGAAAATCCACGAGTTGCGGATATAGCGCACGCGTATAATCGAGAGCCTACTGCGAGTACATGCACCTTGATTCTAACCCAGGATCTCGGCAGTGGCAGCTCAGCGCTGTGACCTGTGAGCCACGGAGCCAACACCATGGCTCAGGGTTTTTTTTAGTTTTGGGCCCTCTGTTACCTCTCTCTCCCACAGCTCCCTGCTCCCCGTTCAGCCCCTGCTCTCCCTTTTCTCCTTTTTCCCCTTGGTCTCCTGCGAACAAAACAAAGACGACAGTTGCCGGTCGCACGGTGATCATTGCAGGGCTTCACGTGAACACTGTATAATATGCCTTGCAAAATCATGTATCGTTTACCAAAGATCGCCACCTCCCCCCCCCCCCCCCCCATTAGCTGAACAGACTGTTGAGCCAAGTGCTGTTAGCGAGTAGCACCTATGAAGGCCGAGCGGATGGGTGGCAGGCACCACACCCGGCCGCCTTTGTCTCCCCAGTGGCGATGTTTACACACCGCACCGGGTCCTCATTTGAGGCCGAGTCGTCCTAGAGGAGGCCCGAGAGCGGTTCAGATTGTCGCCACCGTCGTTCGCAGCGAGCGGGAATCTAACTCGGGTCGCCGGTGGGTTCGCGAGCGCTACGCAGCCGCTCCCCACACACTCTACAGCGTGCTCAGCGCCTCCTTCAGAGTCACCCTAGGATGGGCAATTCCCCCAAGTGTTAAGGTATACGGAGGGCGTCTGGATGGGGTCCCCGAAGCCGCTCTCCGCAACAAGGCGGGTCTCCCCGTGGCGGTGTGAGCGCCACAGCCGTCCCAGGGGCTGGGGAGTGGCGGGTTGAGGTCGGTTGGCCCAGGCGCCCCTCCTGAAGGAGATGGGGGGGGAGCGTGGGGGGGCACCGCCCGAATGGGGGGCGGGGGATCTCAATTTATGGTGAGGCACGCGGGGTGGGGGGGGCAGTGGGTGTGAGGATGTCGTCGTAGAGGTCTAAGTGAACGACTCATTTCACAGTCACAGAGACTGCGGCAAGAGAAAAAAACACCACATAGACGGACGCCGACTCAATGAACGCGCGGCCGAGGAGACAGAAAGAGGCGCGGACCTTTAACCGCGGCAGCGCAAGTTGCGAACCGCGCGCATTCAGCGACGATTCATTTGGCTTCAACCCGAAGCCTTTCGCGTCGCTTTCAAACGTTTGGGGCTGTGGGGGTGGTGGTGATACGGGGAGTCCTTTAAGTTGCCATTGACCCAGCCGTAGGCGTCGGAGAGTGAGCTAGCCGTGGTCCTGGGTGGCGGTGGTTACCGTTGGGTCCGGGCAGCATGAAGGAGCTCAGGCAGGCGGAGGAGGAAGAGGAGGAGGAGCGGCTGGGTGATTCCGTGGAACAAAGGCCCAGAGGAAGGAGCAGCAGCAGCCATCCAGACTCCATGCCTTGGCGTAACGGACGCGAAAAAAAAACTCGCTGGCAGCATCGAAAACACGCACGAGGAGGCAGCAGCAGAGTAAACACAGAGGGCTGGTATGTGTGTGTGTCTGTGCGTGTGTTTGTTTCTGTCGTCCCGATGTCCCTTCTTGTTTTCTCCTTCAAGTCGCAAGCGTCACACCGACTTTGCATTGCAATCTTTGACATTTACACACAGTGAGCGAGTGCCAAAATGTTGTGAATTCGAGTTAAATAATAGTGTGCTCCTTTGGAAGGGGTTGGGGGGGGTGTTAGAAATATCGTAAACAAAAACTGTCGTGCATGAACCCTGCAGACAAAAGAATAGCCGAGGGAACACGACGGAGCCGTTTTCACTCTCTCTCACAAAGACAAAGATCCACCGTGTAGCCTTCACAGACTGTTGTGGCAAGTGCTGTTAGCAAGCGCCTATGAAGGCCGGCACGGCACACGAGGGGGTGGGTGGCCAGCAACCACGCCCGACCGCCTTTATCTCCCCAGTGGCGATGTTTACATCACCGCACCAGGTACTCATTTGAGGCTGAGTCGACCCTAGCGGAGGAGACCCACGACCAGTTCGGATAATGGACACTGGTGTTGGCCAGTGAGCGGAATCGAACTCGGCCCGCCGGGTTCGTAGCGGTTCAGCGTATAGCGCTAACCGCTGCACCACCACTCCTCGCTTTCTCTCTGTCGCGCACACACACACACACTCGCTCGCTCACACACACACAGGCGCGCACGTCCTCCTCCTCCTCATCACGACGACGACCATCACATCAACCGTGACGAGGGCAACGAGACACACAAAGGCGAGACACCGAACGAGACGTTCACGCCGAAGAGGTTGTCCGCGGATGGTGCACCGGGAATTCCACGTACCGTCACAGCCAGGGACGAATCTCGGTTCGCAGCGGAGCGCGCGGCCGCTGGAACTGCCATGCGGTCCGTGTCACGCGATGTTTATAAGAGCCCCTTGACAGCTGCTTGCGTTCAGCGGCAACAGCAGAGGCGGGCGACACGACGTACCGAGCGAGCTGTTTTCCAACTTTGCCCCATCTGCGTGTAGGACCGCCACACCACCACCACCACCACACCACCACCATCCCTGCTGAACTACTCACCGCTGCTGCTGGTCAATTGTTGTAGGGCGAAGCGAATCGCCTGCCCCGTTGCAGTCGGCGGCACGATCGCTGCCTGCCCTGTGGGCTGTCTGTCTCTAAAGGGTCGTCGCAACAACGGAAGGGGGGGGGGAGATTGATGCCAACGCCGCAGAGTCGCTCCTTCGATCGCCCGGAGCGGCAGTTACAACGATTAGGGGGGGAGGGGGGCTAAGTGCCTTAACTCTGGAGGCTGCCGGGAATTCACACGAGGGGGGGGGGCGCGAATGGCGAGAGGGGGGCGAGCAAAAGGGGTGGCCACGCTCCCTGTGAGAGGCACAAAGACAAAGATCCCCCGTGTAGCCTTCAACATACCTCGGGCAAGTATTGTGAGTGAAAGACAAAGATCCCCCGTCTAGCCTTACAAAGTCTTCGGGCAGAGTGCTGTTCGCGAGACAAATACAAAGATCCCCCGCATAGCCTTCAAAAGACTTAGGGCAAGTGCTATTAGCGAGACAAAGACAAAGATCGCCCGTGTAGCCTTACACAGACTGTAGGGGCAAGTGCCGTTAGCGAGCACCTATGAAGGCCGGCAACGGCACACGAAAGGGGGTGGGTGACCAGCACCACGCACAGGCCGCCTTTGTATCTCCCCAGTGGCGATTGCTTACGAAGCGCCGCAACCAGGTATTCATTTGAGGCCGAGTCGACCTAGGGGGAGGCCCAGGAACCGGTTCGGATATAATCGTCAGCGGACGAGTCGGTGGCCGTGGGCGGGAATCGAACTCGGGTGGCCGGGTTCGCAGCGCTGCCACCCCCACTCGCCGTCTTTCTCTCAGCCCCGCAGGGTCTCCTCCCCCCGTGTCGCTGCTGTTGCTGCTCATGGGCACTGAAGCAGAGCTGTGGGTGGGTGGATTAGCGGAGTTCCGTTACAATTACAGCAGCATGCAGTTATGCATAGCCTGACAGTCCGATCACAATTTTCGATTTTGCGTTGTCATTGGAATCCGTTACAAATTACATGGGCAGACCCGTCGGCATGGCTGCTGAGGGGGGTAAGTGAACCACCTGTTGCACCTTAAACAGATTTAGAATCATATTCTTTGGGTCTTTCGGTAAAGCCACGTAGATAGAAAAAAATAATAAATAAAGCATCACTACGTTTCGATCGCAACACAAGCATCTGATCGAAACCTATGAGATCTTCACTCAAAACTACTCTGGAGGAGTTGTACACCCCTAGCTGTCACTGCTATTCAGTGACCTGAGGTCGGGTGTTTCGCTCCGGATGACCGCTGCCAAGTATGATCTTGTTATTCTTGGTTCTTTCGGTAAAGTCACGTAGAAGGGAAACAATAAAAAACATACATTGTTTTATATATTTTTTTTATTGTTTCCCTTCTACGTGACTTTACCGAAAGAACCAAGAATATGAATCCCTGCAGTCACGAAAGCTTTAAATCAAAATGTATGATCTTGTTGTTTTGATTTAGTGTGCTGATCTTTAAAGGTGCATTGAAGAATGTTGATACTCCGACTGATGCTCCTGCTGTTGTGGAGTGACGCATGCAGCCAGCTATGGCTGCAGGGTTTGGTGGAACATGTTGTTTATGTCGTTTATTGTGAAAATTCGGTCACAGTTCCTATGATCACTGTTACATTGCTTTTATGGCTTTATTTTTGGTGATTTCACAGGCGTTTTTTGGTTTGGCTATGTTTGTTTGTTGTAGTGCGGAGTTATACTGATGGGTTTGGTCTAGGTTGTCTTGTGGTTGTTGTTGTTGTTGTTTGACTTGCGTCCCACTGGGATTTTTGCACACAGCATTGGTGTACGGTGCTTTTTTCTGGAAGAAGATTTTGCTGTTTCTTCCTGGATTTTTCTGTTTGCACATAGTCACTTTGAGATGTTTTCTTGTTCATGTTTTTGTTTGTTGTGGTTGCACCCGATTCAAGAGCCGAATGGCTCACAGGGCTATACCAAATAAATGAAACTGAAACGTCGTGATATTTTTATTATTTTTTCTATCTACGTGGCTTTACCCAAAGACTCAAAGAATATGAATTCCTGCAGTCACGAAAGCTTTAAGTCAAGATTTAGAATCAACATCGCGCGTTTCGAGTTATTTGGCTGCTTTAAATTTCCCCAAAACAAGGTCCATCATCATCATTAACCATGACCAATCCACTTGTGGATGAAGGCCTACCCAAGCCATTTTCACGCCTGTGTATTTGAAGTTTTCAGGTCATTTTTTCTCCCTGTGGTCACGTGGATTTTCCTCCGGGGCCTACGGGTTTTCCCTCCAAATTTAGAATCAGCATCACGCGTTTTGAGTTATTTCTGATAGCCAGGTCACTTCTGAAAAAAAGAGCTATATAGCTCAAATGGACCTTACCTAGTCACATAAAATATAGTTAGTTTAACAGTACTGCCGGACAATTGATGCTAAATCTGCCAGCCGCCGGCAAAGCATCTTCATCTTCTGCAGCTAGGAGGCTGTGCCACGCAGCTCTGGGTGGATTGGCCCTGGGGTAACGGTACAGAGGGCACCACGTGACGAAGGATGAAAACCCCCGGGTTACGGAAGCAGCCGGCAGCCCTGCAATTGCTTTCTCACTCGAAGGGGCTCCAGAGAGCTTCCTTTTTCTAGAAGGTATTTAACCGACTCCTTCATGCGGGCCAGACGTCATGGAAGAGGTGGGAGATACCCACGCTTTACCCCACGATCGACTTTCATGTACCCATGGACAGGCATACCTCCTATATCACTCAGGATGCCGTTATTGGTCAAATGAAGCGCTATACGAAACAGCGCTATAGGAGGTAATTATAACGTGATTCTAATGGAGATGCGTTCCCGACTTGTTTTCTTTTTACCAATGAGCTATATCAGAGGGCTTCATTGGGGTATGGGTTAATAATCTTAATAATTATACTGTACACATGATATATCTATAAAAGCATCTTGTGATTTTTTATGATGACATGAAAAAATACAACAAGTTATGTATTCACCAGTGCATTCGGTCAGACCTTGCGCAGAATTAACCGCCGTCTGCCGTGGACACACGATCCGCGGCAAGCTGTACAGCACTAAACAATGGAATTACTCGATCAATGGATCGCCAATGAATCGATGCACTGATTAACCATCGATGAATCGATACTCTACGTGGCTGTTGGATCGACCGTGAGCAGACTCGACGCAATAGACACCTCGACTCAAGTTCCACAAGACCACCTCCGATGAGCACGGTTGGCTACGTACGGTGCGAAAGAAGTTCAACGTACACACACGGTGCATACAAAGACACGACCCTACGGGCAACATCACGCCGACGTTCTTCCATACATGGGGGCTGATCCACGCAGGAGTCTTCGTTCAGGACAAAGAGCGTTATAACGAAACGGCGCTATAAGAGGTGCGCCTGTATATTTCTGGGTGGACAGAAGTGAGGGGATGTTTATGAAACTCTCGCCATCGTTACAACTTGCCACGCCGGGGAGATCGAACCCTGCGACTTGTGGATTGCTATCCGAGTGAACCACAGCCCCACGGCACGCTCCCCGTTCACCGCGTAGCGTACTCTGCAGCTGCGTTTATATTGCTCATCGCATTGCCGGCAACGTATAGCGTAGCAAAAGAAGACACGAATGTATGAACACTGTATAATCATATAAAAGTGATTGCTGTGTTACATTGAGCTTGTGATCCGCCCTCCACGGGGAAAGCACCTGGTGAATCGCGCACGGAACTCGTGAGCAGTGACACAACCACTGAGCCACCGCTCCGCCCATCACCGAAATCGTTGTGCGTCGTAATCCCCAACAATTGTTCATGGTCACGACGGGTTGGAGAATATAATTCTACGGAAATGGAATCTGCCAAAAACTTCTGCCCCTTGGGAAAGCCTGCAGATCCGCAGTGCGGGAACAGCAGCTGCTACGGCCGCTACGCTTGGGATACTTTCCAGAAGGATAGAGGGACATTCTCGCCTGATGTAGGAATACTTTATAAAGGCTCTCGATTATCAGAGTGCACAGTATGTGAGACTGGTGTATAACTTGGTTTGCTCATAATAAAGGTTTTTTTGTGGGTTAGATCGCGTTTATTTATAAATGTGTCGTAACCCTCCACCACCCGACACGGCCAATCAGCAAAAAATAGTGTCACGTTGACAAAAAGACAAATAATTCACTACTTTAGCCCATCGGTGTGTTGAAGAGTGAATCCACATTTACAGTTTGAGTACGACGTTTCGCTGGTAAATACATCCAGCATCATCGGGCAATTCGCCAGAATGGTAAAGCCCTCGCTTGCTCCCGGTTTTATATAGAGCAGCAGC